GTTTTGATTGCATGCACATTTTTAAACAAGGAAAATCAGTGCATTTAATGATCAGCAAAAAATGCACGGCGGAGACTCAAATCGAACTTCCTCTGTTGTCTGAGAGCTTGTGATCCGCTTCTATATTTGTACTGGATCTGTGTTACACAAGCCTGTCGTCACTTTAGGGCAGAGGAAGGTGAAGGATGAAAAGTTTTCAGAGCATTGCTTTTCACGCAGGATGGTAGAGGATTTAAACTGTGTTTTCCACACCTGGAAGAGCCAAGCAAATACATCTTGTTAATGCTTTATTGTTGAGTTGTAAAGGTAATTGCATTTAAAGGGGACCGATTATGACTCCTTAACAAGGTGTAAAATAAGTCTCTGATGTCCCTAGAGTGTGTATATGAAGTTTCAGCTCAAAATACTTCACAAATAATGCTCACACACACACACACACACACACACACACACACACACACACACACACACACACACACACACACACACAAAAACACTACAAAGAATTACAAATACTTAATACCTTTTCTCTAAATTGAGAATTATACATAATGAATGTTATAAATAAACATTTTAATGTTGTAATATGTGTTAGGATAGGACAGACATGAAAAAGACAGATAATACAGTGTACATTCATAAATACACACTGTACACACATTATTTTATAAAGTATGCTCGATAAATAATACATTAAATAAATATAATACACTATTTTATTACATGAAAGTCACAAATAAGCTATTTTGTGTTAATTTGCGAGACTGACACATCATAACCCACTAAGTGTAAAGGATTAGAATAACAGTGTAAAATGAAAACTGTTTGCACTATAAACATTCATAATAACAAATGAAATAAAGTGATAAAGAGATTTGCACTATAAACAAGTTGCACAGCTAAACAGACAACCCAGCATTAGTGCATATTTAATTTAATTTAATTTAATTTAATTTAATTTAATTTAATTTAATTTAATTTAATTTAATTTAATTTAATTTAATTTAATTTAATTTAATTTAATTTAATTTAATTTAATTTAATTTAATTTAATTATTAATTAGATTTTTATTTAATTATTTAATTTAATTTAATTAATAATTTTATTATTTAATTTTAATTTAATTAATTCATTTTAATTTATTTTAATTTGATTTTATTGTCTAATTTTAATGTAATTATTTTATTTTAGTTTATTATTTAATTTAATTAATTTTTATTATTATTTTATTTTAGCTTATTTAATTTAATTATTTAATTAATTTAATTATTTTATTTTATTTGTTTATTTTGTATTATTATTGAATTTTAATTAATAATGTTAATTATTATTTTTATGTTATTTTTAAATTTAAATAAATCATTTATTTTATTGTTTAAATTAATGTAATCATTTGTTTATTTTTTTTTATTCATTTATTTTGTTTTGTTTTATTATTTAATTTATTATTGATTTCACTTTTAATTAAATTTTAATTTTATTTTAATTCTTTTAATTGAATTGAATTGAATTTAATATTTACATATCACTTAAACAGACTTATTTTTTTCTGGTCGGTCTAGGATAGTCACTAGTGAAGGGTTTAAGGATATGTTTGCAAATGGTAGATGGTGTACAGTACTTGTCCTCGATATAAAGATAAGCATAAGCATAAAGAAAGCGTGAGAACAAGGTCAGGCCTCTTCTGTCCACACCCAGCATGCCTCTGGGGAGGAGGCGGGCGAAATACAGCGGTGCAACACCAGAAGAGGAGCAATTGCTCCCTGTATGCAAGAGAGAGAGACAGTGCAAGATAAGGACAGTGTAAGTTTGCATGCGGCGTGAAACAGCGCTGATGTCACTGCTGTAATCTGTGTGTGCGTGTGTTTGTGTGAGCATGCATGAGTGTGACGTGTACTGCATGCTCTGTAGATCAGTTGCATCATTGCATGCTCCATGAGTTGATACTTATTCTGGAGATAAAATAACAGAACAGACAGAAAATGGACCTGTACTGCCGACTGGACTCTCAGGTATGACTCTTGATTTACTACACTGTTTTTAATTGCATGCTAACTCTGCCAGGTGCATTGATTTAATTAATGCACAGCCTGTCTTTGAACTTTAATACAGTCAAATAACATGCATGCTTTAAAAATGAGCCCTTATACTTGTGCATTGGTAAGACTGTGCAGTGCAGTGTCATGCTGGAGAATTGTGTGTGATGCAGTGCTGTTCTCTGCAGGCTGAATGTCATTGATCAGATGCAGGTTATGGTGTGGAGGAGGGGTGCAAGCATGTGCTGAGACTGTAAAGAAGCAGGCTAGCATGCTGCAGATGTCAGACCAGAACTCATTTTCTTTCCTGGACTAGTTTTAATGCTTAGGTGTTTCACAGTCGCATGCACGTTCTTACCTATGGCAGCATTTTACAGAGCAGGTCATGTGGGTTTAACCCCTTAACTGTCCAGTAGCAGGACGCTTATGTTTGCTTCACTATATTGCAATAAAATCCTAATCCAATCATGACAAACTGAATATCACAGGTCCTCTCTATGTTTGTAGCCCAGTTGTGTTGTTTACAGTAGTATTAGACTTTAGGCAGGGTAAGTTTATTTCTATAGCACATTTTATACACGGTGACAAGTATAAGAAAAATAAAAACAAATAATAAAAAACATTAAAAGCAGATGAAAATGTGTTAAATTAGGTTATAAAAGAATTAAAAAGAAGAGAAAGACTGTGGGCCATAGCACAGAGCTTATTCAGTAAAGACACAGCTAAACAGATGAGTTGATTTGAATGTGCCTAATGTTGTAGCACATCTGATCGTTTCTGGAAGCTGATTCCAGCGGTAGGGGTGCTGTTAGTAGCTGAAGGCCGATTCCCTCTGCTTTGACTGGGAACTTTCTAATTTACTTGATCCTAATGATCTGAGTGATCTGTCAGGTTTGTTTTCAGTGGGCATATCTGTAATGCATTTAGGTCCTAGGCCATTTAGTAATTTTATAGTCCAGTAGTAATATTTTTAAAATCTATTCTGAATGTAACTGAATGCAGGGAGAACATGCAAACTCCACAGAGATACACCAACTGACCCAGCCGAGGCTTGAACCAGCAACCTTCTTGCTGTGAGGTGACTGCACTATCTACTGCGCCATTGCGTCACCCTAAATCCTAATCTAATCATTAGAAACGTCTAAGTCTTCTGAATTCATATTTTACCACTGTTTTTACTAATGTTTTATGTAGGAAGAAGGCTAAAACCGACTTTATAAAAGACATATTGGGTGTAATGTAACAAAATATACATTTATTGTTTTATTTTCATAAATTTAAAGGCACATAACTTTAGTTTTATTTACCTTTTTGAGCTACAATCTGACATTGGTCTTCTTTAAAATGAAATTAAAGTCAGCATGAACTGGAATTAGCAATCGTTTTTTTTCCTGTATTGTGACTTTTTATGGAAACAATATTTAATGAGTCAACAGTGGGCGTGGCTAATTTTTTCTACTGCGAGCTGATTGGATGTAGTAAAGTAGGTATTTCATTCAGAAAAATCTGGAGTTATTACAACCTAACAGACTCCTCCTGCTCACCATTTCTGTTTGTTGTCTAAACTGACAACGCCCAATACAGACAGACCTAATTTGAGAATTTAAATGCATTTTCACATTTTGATGTCAAATTACAGGGGAAAACTATTTATTTTATCCAAATGACATGGCAGATGAATTGTTTAAAATAAAACTAGCAATGTGAGCTAACAAAATCAGTATGGTTAGTTTTGATTTCATTTGTACTTTAGGCTTTGCTTATCTTTAAATCTATGCACTAAACTAAAGCATTGAACATTGGCATTCATTTAAGCTGAATATGTTTTTTTTTAATGTTCAAAAAATGTAGGCGACAGTTAAGGGCTTAAGAAAATGATCTTTGTTGCATTTTTTAATGCAGCTGTGCTTCAATGAAAACAATCTGCAAAGTTGTTAATCATGATTAAGAAATTGTCTCATAAAAACAACTAGGGGTGGCACGGTGGCTCAGTGCTTATGTAACCCTCACAGTCCTACGCCACCCAACTCGCTCTGAGCTGGCATCGAACTGACGTCCATCCGCATGGGAGTCAGTTGCTCTAACCAGGAGTCTAAAGACAATGGCATCTAGCTGTTGTCGCTAGAGCACCTTTAGAGGTCAGAGGAGTGAGGTTTACCTGCACAGCACTTACTAGCTGGCCTCCGTTACACTTAGCACTGTCGCCTCATAACAAGAAGGTGGTTCGAGCCCTGGCTGGGCCAGTTGGCATTTCTGTGTGGAGTTTGCATGTACTCACCGTGTTGACGTGGGTTTCCTTTGGGTGCTCTGGTTTCCCCCATAGTTCAAAGACATGCGCTATAGGAGAATTAAATAAACCAAATTTGCCGTAGTGTATGTCTGTGAATGAGTGTGTATGGGTGTTTCCCAGTACTGGGTTGCAACTGGAAGGGCATCCGCTGATTAAAACATACACTGGATAAGTTAGCGGTTCATTCCACTGTGGCAACCCCTGGTGAATAAAGGGACTAAGCTGAAGGAAAATGAAATGTGAGTTGATGAATAGTAAAAGAGCTGATTTGTGTGCCGTACAGCATTCATTGCAGCGGATTTATTCAGCTGATGATAGTGATGTTTTTCTCCATCTGCCTCATTCAGGATGCTCAATATGATTATCTGTTTCATCCAATTAAATCAATGCAAACCATCACGGGACACTCTCTAATCTCCCCGACTGCCCTCATGCTGCTTTAGAGGACTAGTTCAACCAAAGATGAAAAGGCTGTCATCATTTACTCACATTCATGCGGCTGAAACCTGCATGCACTTTTTAGAATTTCTTTACAGTATGTTGGCTCCCAAACAACATTGGACCCTGTTGACTTCCATAATAATGTATAACAACTAAGTCCTTATTAATACCTCAAGAGTACATACCTAAAAAGTACAACTCTTAGATACTAATATACATTTGAGGTACCAACAAATGTCTTATCATTAATCCTAGTTGTAAGAACAATAAATAATAAATTGACTTCTAGTTGTTCATTAGGAAAAGTGGCAGAAGGTCGAGATTCTCATAGATTTCAGTCAAGTTTGGTGAAGGAACAATCATGGTTTGGGGTTACATTCAGTATGGGTGTGTGTGAGAGATCTGCAGAGTGGATGGCAACATCAACAGCCTGAGGTATCAAGACATTAGTGCTGCCCATTACATTACAAACCACAGGAGAGGGCAAATTCTTCAGAAGGATAATGCATGAAGCGCTTCAGCCTCCACATCAAAGCTCCTGAAAGCAAAGGAGGTGCTCCAGGATTGGCCAGCCCAGTCACCAGACATAAACATTATTGAGCTACTGGAGTAAGATGGAGGAGGCGTTAAAGATGAAAAATCTTGATGAGCTCTGGGACTCCTGCAAGAACGCTTTCTTTGCCATTCCAGATGACTTTATTAATCAGTGATTTGAGTCATTGCAGAGATGTATGGATGCAGTCCTCCAAGCTCATGATGGAGTCAGACACAATATTCATTCTGTCTCCACTGCAGCATGACTTTATATTCTATACTGGACATTATTTCTGTTCAGTGACCAGACTCTTGTCTAAGCAAATTCAGACCGCACTGTCCTAATGACATCATTCAAAATCAAGACATGATCATATTTTATTGTGGTAAAATAAGCGTATTCTAGAGGCCTTTGCTTTTCATATAAGCCACTTCGGATACCAAATGATCACCAGTAGAAGTAGAGTTATTTTATTGTTGTTCCTACAACTTTGATAGGCAACAAGACTTTTGTCAGGAGGTGTACAGTACCGATATATACCTGTAAGTACAAATATGCACCCTTTGAAAAGATACCACCAAAGTGACAGCTCTCGTACCTTTACTCCTAAGAGAGCATTGTAAGTTTGCACACAACAAAAGTAGAATTTTTCCAAATATTTTATAGATTGATATATTTGAGCGCAGTGGGTAGCAAAATCACCTTACAACAAGATAGTTTCTGGTTCAAGCTTCGGTTGGGTCAGTTGCCGTTTCTCTGTGGAGTTTGCTTGTTCTCTCCGTGTTGGCGTGGGTTTTCTCCGTGTGCTCCGGTTTCCCCCACAAGTCCAAAGACATGCAGTATTAGTGAATTGGGTAGGCTAAATTGTCCATAGTGTATGAATGATGTAAGTACATTTTATTAGGTACACCTGTCAAACTGATTGTTAATGCATATTTCTAATCAGCCAATCACATGGCAGCAACTCAAAGCATTTAGGCATGTATAAATGGTCAAGATGATCTGCTGCAGTTCAAATCGAACATCAGAATGAGGAAGAAAGGGGATTTAAGTGACATTGAACGTGGCATGGTTGTTGGTGCCAGACGGGTTGGTCTGATGATCTACTGGGATTTTCACTCACCACCATCTCTATATAGGGTTTACAGAGAAGGGTCCGAAAACAGGAAATATCAAGTGAGCGGCAGTTCTGTGGGCGCAAATGCCTTGTTGATGCCAGAGGTCAGAGGAGAATGGCCAGACTGGTATTTGGCGTCAACAACATGAAAGCATGGATCCATCCTGCCTTGTATCAGTGGTTCAGGCTGGTGGTGGTGTAATGGTATGGAGGAGATTTTCTTGGCAAACTTTGGGCTCATTAGTACCAATTGAGCATTGTTTCAACACCACAGCCTACCTGAGTATTGTTGCTGACCATGTCCATCCCTTTATGACCACAGTGTACACATTTTTTGATGGCTACTTCCAGCAGGATAACGCACATAAAGCGTGAATCATCTCAGACTAATTTCTTGAACATGACAATGAGTTCACTGTACTCAAATGGCCTCCACAGTCACCAGACCACAATTCAATAGAGCACCTTTGGGATGTGATGGAACGGGAGATTCTCATCATGGATGTGCAGCCAACAAATCTGCAGCAGTTGTGTCCTGCTATCATGTCAATATGGAGCAAAATCTCTTAGGAATATTTCCAGTAGCTTGTTGA